TTAATCCCTAAGTATTTAGATTGAGATTTTCAGAAGCCACGAATTCAGTTTAGTTCAAAGCTTCTCATCACTTCCAAACAACCAGAAGTCACTGTAGTAATGCTGTTATAAAGTGTTACCATGATCACTAAGGTTTAGTTCGAAACAAAAAAGATAAACAGGAAGAAATAATATCATTATGAACATTACCACCATAATGAGGTCATATAAGGAGAGTGTAAAGTCATAATTGATAATAAAAGGACAATGAATAGAAAACGATTTTCTGTAAATACGTGATAATTAAACTACTTAGTCAATAAGCACAGCTTTAACTTTTTCAGCTAGGTGAATTAATTACGGTATGTAAAACTAGTCCAAAATATTTTTTCTTGTTATTTCTTCAAATGATGAACAAGAATCAAAATATTTCAATAATTCCAGTGCTTCTGTCTGGATTTCTCAGTATTTTACATTTTAATAAGTAACCTTTTTACAATACTACGTAAATACATACTTAGCATTCATAAGGATTCTTTTTTTAAAAAAAATGAAGTGATTAGTCGCAATATTTTCATAGTTGAAAACTTGACCCAGACGTTTGAACAGAACAGCGTAGCGGAATAGATGTTTGCTTCACAGTTATGGGAATCCAACGCGCCAGCGTGGATTCTTTGACTCCACCTCCTCAAACACTTAACAATCCCACTGAATTGTTTCATCATTCTAGTCCCTTCAAAACTAATATGTCAATCCGGTTGTCATAAATAACATCAAGCTTAGCTCAGATGTATTTCGACCAGTGTTGTTGCCAACTTTATTATTACAGCAAGAGGGACATATTAAGGGATTAAAGTAATAATACAGTCGATGATATTACCACGTTCTGTATACTGTCACTGATCGATACTTGTCTGAATCTCTAAATAAATAGATTGTCTAAACTAAAATTTCTGAAATCACTCAATACCCTACTTGGTTATTCATTATTCTTGGGCTTGTAGTGTCTTCAGCAATCTGTTACTGTTAATGGTTAGTTTCAGTGAAGTTTTTGTCCAGTTCTAGAAACAGTTTCCTTTAATAAATTCCTACAGCCTTTCAATCACCTATATCTTAAGTAAACTTAAAGTTATGTTTCTACTAGTAATTTGCGTTGTTCAATGTAATACCTGACAAAGTATAGGGAGTGGAGTAGTTGAGCGTGTCGACCGCTTCACTTATCTTGGAAGTCTAATCAGCCCTATGTGACGGAATCTCAGCACGGATACAGAAGGCTCGACTAGCTTTTGTCAACTTGCACCATTTATGGCGGACGCGAAATATCCATCTAACAACCAAAGGACGGGTTCACTGCGCAGCAGTTCGTTCCGTCCTACTTTATAGCAGTGAAACAACCGGTAAGAGTAAAGGATATTCGTAGGTTACTAGTATTCGATCATACATGTCTTCGAAACATTGCTCGTATATTCTGGGACCGTCGAGTAAGTAACGCAGTAGTTAGGAAACGGGTACTAGATAAGGATGGCAAATCCATTGGGACACGTAATACATACGCCCAACCACCGACTGCCTCGATATGCGATGTTCAATGGTGTAGGAGTAGATTGGAAGAAAGCTAGGGACAGTCAAACCAAAACATGTCACAAATCCATGAAGTCACTGACAAGTGGACTGAGTCATGTTGGTAGGTGTAGACTATCTGGTCGGGAACCGCGAGATGATAGCAACCGATAGTTAGAGACCTTGAATGACATGGCTGAAAATCGTTTGCAATGGCGCAGGTGCAGGTCCTCACTTTGTGTTCTCCCAAATTCTAATCTTCTGAATTCTTCATGTGCTTTGCTTTTTCCTCTTTCCAAATATATTTCGCTGGATTGTACTCGTTGAATAACATGTTCAAACCTTAATGTTTCCGATTACTGATTATACTCTCACTATCTCTACCACTATGGGATTTGAATCGACAATGATATCTCTTGGCTAATGTGATATTTCAACTCGAACTGGTGTATGTACGTACGTAGTTCAACGTTGTTACTGACTGAATACCTAACAAAATTTCTGCGTTTACACTATCCATAACTGGTTAGAAATCCTGATAGTTTCTGATGATATTATAACCTTTAAAACCGTTTTCCTTACTCTCAATATTATGTATAAAAACGTCTATTTGAAAATAATTCATCAATCCCATTGAATTACTGTTTTCATTACTATTTACGTAATATTAATGTCAAACCATTGTAACAGGGAACGTTTTTCTTGCATAGTTAGTTTCTTTTATTAAAAGTAACAACATTTACTGACAAAAATATCCTACCCAAATGTATAGTTTATTATCTAGAATAATTATATATCTGCATATTTTCTATTCAATTTGTTCGTTTCAACTATGAACATCGAATATGGATATGTGAAATTTCAGCCTTACAACCACAGAATAGAACAAACTGATTTACAATGTTATAGATTTCGATTTTGACACAAATTTACTGTATTTGTTGTTTTATTTTAGTCTTCCTCATCACCAGCGTTTGTTGCCAACTTTGTCTTCTGATTAGCCTATTGTTCACTGTTTTTGCTTACACAAAAATTTATCATTTCAATTGGTCGGATTGTACCATCTCTTATTAACCATGACTCACCAAGTTTACTGGATTTATGAATTAGGATACACAATTTGCTGTTTCTAATCTGTTTGGATTGTTATGCTTATGGAACAGCATTAGTTTGTAACTTGATGGTACAATCTATATTCCAATTAAAGCGACTGAATAATTTCCCTATTCTGTGTATAGACGAGGAAATACATACTATGATTTAAAAAAATTAATTATGAATTAGTGTGAATACATGGATTTAGACATAGCATAAATTACACTTGTGACTACTAGATCTGAGTTTATTTAGCGAAAACGCTCAACAAGTATCCGTTGCTTTCCAAACTAAAACTTTTCGTAAAATAGAGTTACTTTCAAGACTCATCGTCAATTTTGATCATCCCATTGAAATTCCTTTCCAAATGATCAGTCTTAGTCATCATGACAGGACCTACTTTGAATACTTATCAATCAAAATTAGAAACATAGGAAGTGAAGCAGCATCAATTGTATTGGATAACGAAACATCAGGAATATAGTTTACAAGGCACAGATGAAATAGAAGAATAAAATACATAGGAAGATACTTTATTCAGTATTGGAAATAAATGTAACTGCACCAATGTTATTAATGTAGTGGTATATATTTATATTATATCTATATATAATCTGTGTTTTCATTTTAGCACTGATATTCACTCCAACAGGTATGACTGTTGCTCCACACTTGTCGCCGCAAACCACACTTAGTAATTTGGCCACCATTTTGTTACATTAAGTAGTGATAACTTAATGTCGCGATGGGCGGCATAATAGTAGGTTGAGAGAAGACAGGTAGACCATGACTCATCAGTAATATGAAATCCAGTGACATTTTTTGTTACATACCAATGGGTAGAAAATTTGCATTTCTGACGTTTCGTGAGGTAATGTAAGCCCTTTCAGATTAAATAAAGTGCCTTGCATTAAGTCATGAAACGTCAGAAATACAATTTTTTTACTCATTGAGATATAACAAAAAATATATTTATTATTATCTTTTTACCTAATGCTCAATTTATTTGAAACTATCAAGTCCAACCTTGGCAAGTAGTTATATGACTAAAGTTTCCTCAGCTCTGGTGTTTTTCATCAGTCTGGACCATACTGTGTTAGATAAGGATATATATAAACATAGAGGAATTGTAAGGAAATTGTTTGCCTTCAATAATAACAAATGCATAGTTCTTTGCAGTTTTGATCCATTTTCTGTGATGATTTATTTATTCATGACCAGTGTGCCTCCTATTCTTACAGTAATCATTCTGAGATCTACTGTACATCGATGTTTATTTCCTTATTAACATCACGATAAGCGTTATCTCAGGGAATTTCTTATGCGTTAGTAACAGCTATGAGATAGAGTGTTATGTGCACATTAAACTTATTGTCTGTAATATATATGAAGATTTAAGCATGTTCTTAATTTTATTTCATTCTTATCGTAAAGCCTCAGTGATTGGTTTCTGGACTAGAATATTGAGGGGAATATTATTATTTAGATGTTTTTTTTTAATACAGGAAGTAAACTATGATAAACCTTAGTTGTAAACTCAGAATAGGTTCTAATTACATAGACATGCATTCTATCGATTGTGAATATCTTTATCCCGATAACATATATCCCTTTTGTGTGTTTCTATTTTTATAATAAAGAGAACTTATCCTCTCTTTTTTGTCTTATGGATTATCCGAAACATCTTATAAATACTGGGTTGATATATTCTAAGCGAATTTTGTACAGATCCCATCATTCTTAATGTAGCATATTCAGCACATATGTTTCAGCTACTTCCTGTTTATCTATGTGAAGTAAACTAAACTATTTTTCTATGTTTGTAACATATGCAGCAAACCCTTTCGACAAATACCTGCTTCGATCTGGGCACCAGTGGAGTATTACAGCCCACACACATTAATCAAGTGACTTGTGTAGTGTATATGTATTCGGTGCCCCTTTGTATCAATATTTATGTGTTCAAATAAATGAATAAATTTCGACAAATTTAATCTATTGAATATCTCATAATGAATTTCAGACTGGAAAAAATATGTTAAGTTTAATATTCTATCATATTTATTTACTGCATGTATCATCAATGAAGTAATTCCAACTTATGATCATTTACCTACTGATAAGATAAGACATTCTTTTGTAACACATGACTAAACCAATCAGTAAGACAGTACAACCAGTTCGGTTAGAGCTTCTGCAATTTATCCTAGAAAAATATCTTCATTCATATATGTGCTTAAATATAATATTCAATATAAGATAAATTCTACATTAACATCTTCCAAATTTGCATTCAAGCAGCTCTAAAAAAAAATCCAAATCATTTTTCATGTTTTTGTTTTTTTTAATGTTCACTATATGGATAGATCTGGTCCGTGTCTTGTTTCTCGTCCAGTTCTAATTGAAGTACATCAATCACTTAACGCTCTTTTACAGCTAGTAATCAATTCAGGTAAGATTTCCGTTAATAATTAAAATAATTATACTTTCTTTTAGCACTCAATCGTACTTTTAATCAATCTACATCATCAACGTCATCCATCAATAGTGGATCGGCTATGAAATCAAGTCCTGCAGGGCCAACTCAATCGCATTTATTAACAACTAGAGTAAGTTATTATACTGATGAAGTTTTGTTTTCTAAGCTGGATGGTTTCGTTGTGGAACTTTCATCGTTTCTTCTCGTTGTGTCACTACTTTTTTTAGGATCCTAAATTGTTTATTCTCACTTTTTTTCTTCAAATAAATAAACAAATTTAGTACCAAATCATAAAAAAATATTCTAGAAATTCCATCTGAATAAATTTTTCTTGTTTAAACAAATGCCAAGATAAAAAGTGGTCTACATATGGTGTTTAATGTTACCATCAAGCTATTTTAATTAACCATAGAAAATCTGATACAATAGGACATTAGAAAATAAAATGCATTACTTTATGTAAATAAAGTATGCGGGATAAAATTTTTGAGGAAAAGAGAGTAGTATGTTTGATAAGGACAAGGCATATACTCACATTGAATGCACCGGAGTCCGTTTATTCTGTTTTCAAATATTTGAATGCAAACCGGTCAAAATCCACACGATCTGTAACTGAACTGGCGGATTCACATGATTGTTCAAAATATATTTATTATAATGTTAATGTTTAGTATTAACAATATGCTTATTATTTGTTGTTATTTTTATATTAGGCGTCAAGTTCTACGGTTTCTGCAAATAATCTCCGATTTCCAACAACTGCTAATTTATCTGCTATTTCTGGCTTATCCACTTCTAATAAATTTGCTACAAATGTCGATACAAATACTGGTGTTTCACGTAATCTTGCTACTGGTATGTTGTTCGCCGCGTATCACACAACTTATGTTTTTATCATGAATTTCATTGAATGTTTGTTCTCTCCAAATGTGTTATTAATCATTTCTATTTTATACATTATGAAGCATATGCATATGTTTTAGCGATAATAATGAGTTTGTTACGGTAGATTAATAGTGTTTCATTTCAATTCGCTCATATCTTTCTATAAGGATCTAAATAAACCGAAGGAGTAAATGAAGGAAGATAGAGAGACAAAAGATGACAACTGTCGAGAAGTGTGTTCGTGATTTGTTAGAGTTAAAAACAGAATCTATCACTACTATCAGTTGACCAGTCATAATCAATTTGGCGCTTAGCATAAATATGCATTAGCTCAGATTTCCATACCAAACTACTATGACGAGGTTGAATTAACAAGTAGAATAACAAAAAAGTAATAATTATAAGTCAGACTAAGAATTGCTAGTGTGGTTCGAGAAGATGGAATAAAGATAAAGGTCTAGAAAGAAGATAAAGATCAAATTCATATGTGACACTGTGACTTATTCCGTGCCGTGTTAATTAACTTTTCGAATCACTGGTTGTAGTTGTCGCGAAAAATTTATCCAAACAATACGTATGAAACATCTTAGCGCAGGCCAATAGCCAATGACTTCATGTCCCAACATGCGTCATCACATATTGGTTTGGTCCCTCCCGCTACTATAGTAGTCGATTTTTCGTCAGTTATCTAGGAACTGTGTTGACTTTTGTTGGCGTGCTATACCGTTTTTCTTTGTTATACAGAACGCTGGATTGAATATCGTAGCTAATTAATTATATTTAAATATTAACATGGCATTTAGGGTGGGAACTTATTACTGAAAGTGTTTTCTAGGCACTTCGGTTTAACCTGAGTCTATCGACCAGTATTTCTGTTTTCGGCTGTAATCAGTAAATTTACTCCTAATCATATCTATAATGTCTAGCTACTATTCAATTATTTCTATTTAAATTTATCTGAATACATGTGTGGTAGCTATATGGCTATGTAGAGCTGGTCTCATATGAGACTGGAGTTTCGCCATTGGTATTGTGGATGGTTCAGCACTGCTTTGGCAAGTTTTGCTGACTGTTCATGCACAAAATTGGTTTGATGGTTAACCGATTTCATTCATACTGGTGGTTACTTTTCAGTGTTCTCAAGGGCCATTGTCATTGGGACATTGTAAGGCATGTCGCCATTGCTAACATTAATGAGTTTGACTGTCGTGTAAGCGGAATAAGTCAACATTGGCCTGCTTGTGCTGTGCATAATTGATTCACGCGGTCATTGATCGGAATAACTATACATATGATGTCAATGTTTATATGAATTGTGCGAATGGTCCACCAGATTCTGACGTTAAAGCCTATACGGTTTCTGTTTCTCCTGTGAAGCGGGATTGAGCTGTACTGTTTGGGTTGTCACGTGAAAGTCTGGTTGGTGTCTGCTTCTCCTGAAAACCAATGTAAAATTATACTGGTCCACAAGGGTATATTATATGACTATGACATGTGTAGCTCAGATGCTACAACTTAAGTTTACCATCGCTCCCTGAGTTATCAGTTCTTTATTATTATTTTCATTTTTAGTTACTACATTGAATAACACCAAACTTAATCCCGTCGTCATGCAACATGTTACAAATCCCTTAACTTTACAGGTTAGTTCATTGTATTCAAATGTGTATGTATACATATCTATGTTAAAATTCTAATGTTGCCATATTTCTCGTATGAACATATTGCCGTAATTGTCATCTGGTGAGATATTTTCCCTGACTGCTGCACTTTTATCTTTTTTTTTAAGCACAATCTCTACTTTTGCATTTCTTTCATCTGTGAATTGACTGCTACTGTGTACCACTACTCATAACTCATTTTTCCTAATCCTTTAATTCCATTAATGCAAATATATTTTGGATTAGTGATATTCTACTCAGTTTAATCTTTTTTTGTCGTATATTCACTTGTTGTATATATCTGAATCTAATGTCCATTTATCATAGTATATCCTTCATTTGAACTCAGCAGATTTAATAACAAACTGATCCGAATCCTCTAAAATAAACAATATTCATTCTATTCATTTTTTTCTATGTTGTAGCTTGCAGCTAGACGTAAAGCACAAGCTTCTGGTATAGTCGGTCCATCTATGACAGTAGATACTCATATGCAACAAGCATTAAATAATAATTTCAATATTTCTATTCCAATGGAACATCCACCTATGGAATTGTCATTTGTCAATGAACCTATAAAAATTCAATTAAGCAAAGAAGCTGAAGCAGAGGTGAGTTACTCAGTAATTTTTTTTTCACAAATTTCTCTAATCTTCTTTAAGTGTCACATTTCTGTTTTGTAAAACCTGGTGATACTATTACCCTGGTTGCCTAAATAAGATTAGGTGATAATACACAATTGTGCAAACTACTGGTGATCAAACAGTTTGGACTGTACTGCTCAAGTATATCAAATAGCTCTTATTTATTTATTTGAACACATAAATACTGGTACAAGAGGGCATCAGATACATATTCGCCACATAAATCAAATGAGATTTGTGTGAGGGCTGGGATGCTGCTCGTGTGCCCAACTCGAAGCAGATGGTTCTCTTAGGGGGCCACACTCGGAGCTTTCGACCTAAAGGTCTAATCTACAAGGCAGTAGAGCATCGTAAGGAGATGTGGTCCCATGGTAGCCGGTGACCAACGATTGGTTCGTACGCCATTTGTTCCCTCAGGATACTGGAGCCCATGTACACCATTGGTTTGGAATAAGGGCTTTCCAACTCCCTTGTTAGACTCATCGTGTCCACCAACCCGGTTAAAGCGTCGGACATTCGCTCTTCGTCCTCTCAATTTCGTGAACAACACCCCCTTCATGAGAAGGCAGTGAGTAGGACTTCTATGGCAGAGGCTATATACGCGTGGCCATATGAGAGCATTTGGAGAGGGAGAACAGACTCTCTTCACTCTCAGTCGTACCAGGGCATTTGGGGGCCACATAGTTCTGATAAACTTTGTCTTCTCATTTCACTAACCAAATATATTTAGGGGAATAAATGTCTTAAATGAATGGTTTAATAAGCTGTTATTACTAGGAGAAATAACTATCAAATTCTTTCTCATTTTTTGTTGTTGTTGAAATAATTATTAAGCCATGTAAAAACTCTGTGTTAGTAAACTATTTTCAAACGACTTTCGGTTGGTTAACCTCCGTCTTTATTTCAATCAAATTTTATCATATGTTGTAATATGCTATTTCTTTGGTTCAAATAACTTGTTGTTGTTATAGAATTGGTAGGCTTAGGGTTTCTTTTTGCTTGTGAATGTGTATGTGTTTTCTTTATCTCGTAAATGAATCACTATATTTATACTAATTTAAGTGATTTTACATCCTCGATCTTGTATGATCAAGCAAGATGACAATGAAATTGTGAATGTACTTAGATGTGTAATACACATACATTTTTTATGATGAATATAGTATTCCGATACACTTGTAATTATCTTTAATTGTAAATAAGTATATGGTCGATCAAATGACTCTGAAGATGTTTCATTGTGAATATTTATACATTTTGGAATATCGCTCTAACGTTGGTTACTTCAAAATTAATTGATCAATAATCAGTGCCACGTATGTCAATTCCTTAGTGCAGATTGAATTTCATCAATCAATCTGTAATGTAATCATTAGTCTAAGTAGCTTGACACCGCATGAATTATATTGTGCTGTCAGGTGGTGGTTGAAATTCGCCGTCAGGAACCCTCAGTTCCCCCTAGATTACAGATGCACTTTGCTAACTAGTACCAAATTGCACAAAGCCTTGATCCAGGGTTTCCAGTGGACTACCTCCAACCAACACTACGTTATTTACTTCGTCTATTAATTTATTCACATAGAACTTCCTTGAGTTATTATTAATAATACAGCTGTGGCAGTATAAAGCATTGATTGAACACTACATTTGACTACTTTACTAATCCAGTGCACTCGACTCTTAATCACTAAGTTTCATTAGAATAGATGGTGTCGTAATAACACCCATTGACATACGACCTTTGAATAATTTTTAATGTTTCAGGCGTTACCTTCAATTCCAGAAATCCTTGGGATAAGGTCAGATGAAGACCAATATTTTCTAACCTCTTCCTTGCATTGTGAGAAGACATTATTCCTGGAAATACTGGTCCTGAGTGAAACATCCCACTCTCATTCCATTCCACACCGTCGACAGTATAAGTCCTGTTTTGGTTTCGGCGTCCGGTCAGTATTCCAGCCCTCAGACAAATGGAATAACTTGTGACGCATATCTTTCCGGTGCTTCCTTGCACCAACATTTATGTGTTTTCAATAAATACATAAACAGTATGAACTTATCCTCAAGCCTTAGATTTTTTTGCTGCTACTTTTATTACTGTCAAACCGATCACTTTCGTATGTAACCTCAAGGAATGAGTGTTCCGACCAATATAGGTCAACTGGGTTACCATGGTTGGCGCTTGATTTAATAACAGTTCTTTTTGTATACCAATATGCACATATATCCTTCACTTAGTTATAAATCTCATTGAAACATGTTAATACGTTTTTAACAGTAGGTCATCTGTTGTTGTTGTTGTTGTTATCGTCATTATAGTTGTATTTCCTTATGATACATATAAATAATAATAAGAATAATAACTATTTATTTTAAGGGTCGTCTAAATTAAAGTACATAAACACTTAAATGTAAGCAAAAATTAAGATTCCTTGAAAAGAGTTCTAAAGATCTATGAGTTCATTCAAGAAATAATATGACAGAGGATATATTATTTTTTCCTTTTCTTTTCTCTCTGTCTCCTTTTCATTTCCTTTGATTTCTCTAATGTCATTCACATACATACGTATCTACTTTTTGTTTTTGTTGTTGTTGTTGTTCAGGCTAATACATTCTTTCAAAAACTACTGGAAGGTATTAATCCACCCGATGAAATGTTTAAAACTTTATATGATTTTGCAACTCAAGGTACACCTTCCCAACGTAAACTATTGGATGGAATTTTACGTATGTTAGCTGATGAAGTTTCACGTCATTTACAAGATTATCCTGAAACTATGCTACCTTTATTTGCTGACTTGTATGGCAGTGTTCTTGCTGCTAGTACACATCTGTAAGTTTGACTGTCAAATTATCAATTAATAATAATAATAATAATAATTGTAAGAGAGAAAAAAAGCACCTTGATTGTACAATGGAGTCTTAGTAATAACTCAATTCTGTTTGTTTACAGCTTTTCTATGAGAGCTCTTTCAATGCTATGGCGTTCTGTGTTAGCTCGATTGTTCACTCTACCACCAGAGACCCATATGGATTCAACGTTGTTTCGTGCTATGATTCATATTTTAATGAAGGCTAAAAATACGTAAGTGTTGTTTTATTGATCTTAAGCTTCCATATTTACTAACTATATATATTATCCTACACTTGAACTTTTCTCTATTTGCTTCATCTTCCAGGTTTGTACACTTTTCTAATCTTCCAAATTGTTTAGCCAGTTGTCCAGTCTTCAAAGCGTTTCCGCATGATCTTCAAGGAGTAAGAATTATGTACCTTATGTTTATTCTTTCCTCATGAAATGTTTATCTTATTTGCATATGAAACAATGTTTTTCTTTGAATACCACATATAAATAGTCAGTCAGCTACAACATAGGACCAGGCATATATGTGCACTGGTCCAAGTTGCTATACCTCATTAGCACATATGAATAAGAAGTATGAAATTAGATTTAACTAAGTTGATAACTTCAGTTTCATGCTTGTTATTATTTGTCTTTTCACTTTAAACTTTGTAAATCTATATCAATCATTGAAAAAGATCCAGTAATTTAATTTAGATGATTCGCATCTATTTTTCGTATTAGAAATTGAAAATATCCTTCTGTAAAAATGATTACAAACCAAAAGTGGTGTAAATTTTGTCAAATTAAATCAGTGGAATTTCCTTTCATATAAACAGATATTCAAAAGAAGTAAACATTTTAGAATTAAATCATTCGTACTGAATGACGATCAATCTTTACTGGATCATATTCATCATGTTAGTCTAGGGTTATCTAGGCTTAAGGAATAATGTGTTAGGTGTTTTTAATGCGAAGATTATTGAGTTAACATCAAATATTGGATTGTGAAAGTACGTCTAACGAATGATGAAGACAATGGTGGATGTGTCGCTCAATTTCGTGGATTAGTTGAAGTTAGACATTAACACCGTTGGATGCCGGCTCAGTGGTCTAGTGGTTAACTGCTCGCACACGAGACCAGTAGATCCTGGGTTCGAATCTCTCGGGGGGGGGCGAGGTGGTGGATGCCCACTGCTGAGGAGTCCTACAATCGGATGAAACGGCTGTCCAGTGCTTCCAGGTTCTCAGAATAGGACGAATTGTACACTTTCAAATTCACTATAATCACTTTCTATGTATTCTAAATAATCCTTTATTATATTCAACAAATGTTATCATTTGATTACATAGTTTATCTGTTTATTTTATATTTTTCAATATAGTATATTTTAAACTCTGAATTAGCCATCAAGAATTATGCAATATCACAACAAACTACCTCATCTTTGTCCAAGGTAATTTTTCCTATCATGATTATCAATTTTAAATTATAATTTGAATGAATATTCGTTTCAAACTGTTTGTCTTTATTGTTTTTGTAATAGAATATCATGTATCCTCATAAAGTCACTTACTGCTATCTGTTTTCCTTTCTTTTATGATTCATACGAATATACAGAATTTGACAACTACTGGAAGTAGTGGCAGTGGTTCTTCAAATCAATTGATTGCTTCACATTATCAACTCACTGATTCGTTAACACCATCGACTAGTTTAAATTTAACCATGCCTACTTCCAACACTATTGGTAACATTGGTGTTCCTGCTGATACATCATCATGTATCAAAGCACCTGATGCACCAGAGGAAAGCATTTCCGATCGTGTCTACTTTCTATTTAATAATGTATCCAAGGTGAATGCTAAAGAAAAGTCAAATGAATTAGCCACATTGTTGTCAGAAGATCGACTTATACCGTGGTTTGCTTTTTATCTTGTCAGTAAACGAATACCAGTTGAACAAACATTTCATGATCTCTTCGCTTTGGTACTTGATCATATTCAAGAAAAAGTGCCAAATGTTAGACCTAAAGTTATGTATGAACTTATAAGGCATATCAAGGTGAGTATCCGTGTTTGATCATGGTTGGTTTCGTTGTGAGATTATGTATATATACATATAGTTCATATAACATATTAGTCACACGTAATTCAAATATGAATTCTTAATTTGTTCTTATGTAACTATATAACTAATATTGTGCATATTAATTATTCTTATTGCACAAATGTGTGGACACGATTAGTTCAATATAGAAAATATGATTGAAAATCAATTTCTCTTTTTAATCATTAAACAATACTGAATTATTGTAAATATAATCCTTAGTACACCCCGTTTACTTTATATAATAAATGATACTTGAACTCCATTCTCTCAGTCCTTGTTCAGCTGATTGATAATATCACTATCCATCTTACTTTTCTGTCAAATCATAATGTTTATTAGTGTTTCGTCAGTAAAAATGTATACGACAGTTCATTGTAACTCGTTACACACTTAGCAATCAATGAACCTAATATTACTGAGTCAATGACATAATTGACTTATGTTCACCTTTACTATTTATTTATTTCAACACATAGATAATGGTACAAAGAGGCACCAAATACATATGCACCACACAAATCTCATTCGATATGTGTGAGGGCTGTGATACTGCCAGGGTGCCCAAACCGAACCAGGTGGTTTTTTTAGTGGGCCACACCGCGAGCCTTCGACCTGAAGGTCTAATCCACAAGGCAGTGGAGTATCGTCAGAAGATGCAGTCCCATGGAAGCCGGTGACCAACAATTAGTTCATACGCCATTCGTTCACTCAGGATACTGGAGCCCATGTGCACCATTGGTTTGGGATCCGGTTAAAGCACCGGACATTCGCTTTTCGTCCTCTCATTTTCGTAAACAACACCGGTGCCACGAGAAGGCAATGAGTAGGACTTCCCTGGCAGAGGCTATATAAGCGTGGCCATGTGAGAGCATTTCGAGAGGGAGAGTGGACTCTCCCCACTCTCGGCCGTACCAGGGCATTTGGGGGTCACCTTTACTGAATCACTCTAATAGATACTATTGATTTCAACGAAGAAGTAGTAGACTCTACGAGCGACCTACATACCTAGCTAGCTTTACAAGGGCAGATAGATTGGCGTATCCGCATTTAGTTGATCAGTCTTGGAAACTTGTCTTTCACATAGGAAAGCGACTATAGTAGTTAAGACGCAGAATTACTGCGTTAAATTGTATCTTTCAAGACTTATCTAGTGATATCGGTTAGGGTTAACAAAGGTGAATATAAATGAAATACGTCATCGATTCTGCAATATGTGAATACAGTCTACTCAATATAATGTTGATTACAATATTTAGTTCTCAAATTAAGACCGTATATCCGCATACTTGATACACCTAAGCTTAATTAGGTTTTCCTTAATCAGTAATATCTTGCGCTTATTGTTTCTTTTCTGATTCTTTTATCTTTGTTCCAATTAGTTTATTCTGCGTAATATGCGTCTGGACAAAGATGATATGCAAGCACGTAGCACCTTGAAGAATTTTGGCAGTTTTCTTGGTCTAATCACCTTGGCACGTAATAAACCAGTCCTGCATGATGATTTAAATATTAAAGATCTTATATATGAAGCTTATTACAAAGGTCCTATTCCTACTCAATACGTAGTTCCATTTGTTGCTCGAGTTGTTCGAGGTGCAACTGAAAGTTTGGTATTTCGTCCACCTAATCCATGGACTATGGCAATATTAAAAGTTTTACGTGAATTGTATGATATGGAGAATGTAAAGGATTGGTTACGTTTTGAAGTAAGTCTATGATCGTTATGATCTTTTTCACTTTGACCTATTTCACAAAAAGTGTAAAAGAAACTCTTCAATAAACTAATTTGTAAATAAATTAGGGTATATTACTGTGGGAAAGATCAATTTATTGTTTAATACATAATCATACAGCGGTCTAGTAAAATGTGAAAATCATACATCTATGAATTGTCTTTTACAAGCTTCATTGTTCATTTATTCCTGTTGTTATGTTGATTGCTTTTAGTTTCGTTCTCTCTTTTCTTCGTTTTAATCATCTAAACCTGCTCACAGATATTTCACTTCCGACTAGTGTTATATACTACTTATATCTACAAACATGAGTAACAGTCACCTCAGTATTAATGTATATTTACAAGAATTTATTTGCTCTTATTCTTGCTATCTACACAGCATAGTTTTAATCAGCTTATAGAATATTATGTCTCCGTAGATGTACGTGAGTGAAATTTTTTTATTTCACTTTAGAACTAGTAAAATTTGTATCATAATTTCCTAGTTCACATTGTGAGATAATGTAACCTAAACAACTTCAGAAAACCATTAAACATTAAGTATCTGTTTCATTTTAATATAGAAGTCCTTAACAATACCCATCCATTATTCCGCCAATAGGGATCAATATTTTAGTGGTTGTTTCACGAAGATCATTTTGTGATGTTAACTAACTATAAAGAAGAACACACCTTCACAAACCATTATAATATCATAACGTTATTATTTTCTATGTGTTTTTTTCTAGATTGAAATCCTTTATCGTGCATTTGACCTAAATCTGAACGATATACCATCTGCAAATTTTCTTCGAGACCTAACACACTCATCTAATTTAGATATTGAACTGTGTTTCATTGCAACTACTACAAGCACTATCACTACTGCTACTACTACTACCACTACTACCATTGGATCTATGAATACACCTGGCCAAATTATAGTATCAAATATGACTAGTACACCTGCAATAACTAGTATAGATTCATCATTTTATCCCGGTTCTTCGTTTACTACTCCTGACTTCTCGGTTACAACAACAGTGGCAATGGCGGCAACAACGACAGTGACTACGTTTTCTGTTGGAGCTACAACAACCAGCTCGAATTTACCATCATCTGAACAACAGAAACAGCTGTCCAACATGCTTGCTTTGTTCCATAAACACCAACAACAGATTTCTCCTACGGATTCCATATCAACACAACAATCAGTATATTCAGTATGTTGATAACTTTACATTTTATAGCTTGACATTAATTCTCAACTCAATTGTCTATTCTTACTTTTATTTACTTGAGTGTATCTGTGTGTTTGATTGATGTTGATCGTGATTTAGCTATTTTCGTCTGATTGTTATTTGTATGTGCGACAATAGTGCGGTGTTCCAGCTATTTGAGATTGGTGAAACCACACTCGGTAAAGCCCATAAGCATATCTGGATTAGAAGTTCGCTTTTTGAGGCTCACGAACGCACCACATGGGTGTGATTTCGTGGGGAAATAGTTGATACCGCCGCGTCGCGGCTCGCGGTTGTCACACCAGATGCAAGTATAGTCTACATGTACACCGGTAACACAAGTTTTCACTCGTCCATTCCATTGTTTACATATAAGTATAATCACTCACTTGGGAAGGTAGATTATCATTACTCCCTTCGAACGTATTTGCCACAACTTTCTGTCTCCTATGCATTACATGTGTACCTGTGGTACACATGCTCCTCATGAGATACACATGGGCATAAGCACTCAGGGAAGGTTGATGGTCACCTTTCCTTAGTATTTGCTACCATATTTTTTTATTATATCTTCGACCTGAAAGATTAGACCGCTAACGTTTCTTGTGCGTACCCTTCGAAAATGCCTACATTCATAAAGTACACACACTGAGGTTTATGTAATTCATTTACATAAGCATACACATCGGGCAGTCCGTCGCGGTTTCCATGGTGTCGAAGATTAAACTCCGAGAAATCCAAGTACAGCAGAGAAGTGGTGAACTAATGCGATCTCCGCACATCGCTAAAATTAACTAGCATTGTTGCTCTCACTACCCAGCAACCACACGTGGTGGCTTTGAGTCGGATTTTACCGCACATTTGTACTTTTTATATTTCATTTTCAAGTTATCGCTTTTTTTTGCTTAAGACATTTTCAATGCTTACTGAAGAGGCTTTTAGAGATTAATTTTCTTCCATACTTACCATCGATTAGTATTATTAGTTAAAGTATCGTTATTAAAACTGAAGAGTATGAAATAAGTGATTGTTTCTTCTAATAAGAAATAGCAGCGGATATATTGAAATTATGGTGTGTTTTTTAAAACTTAAGCAAGTTATTTCATCGATTGTGCTTCTTAAGTGTAAGTATCAATAATAAGATGTGATTTATTTGTTCTTTCGATAAACTAGTACTAACTTGTCTTTTTTTTCTATTGTTTTAGACCCCTGGTTTAGATATAACTAATTTAATTCAAAACTCTTCTACTAGTTCTAATCAAACTCGTCAAACAGCCGCTGCAATTGCTGCCGCTGTAGCTGCTATCAAAAAACAGCAACAGTTTGGTCCGCCTCTTTCTGGAACTGGTCCTTCTTCTTCTTCTCCATCTTCTACTTCTTCTGCATTAGCATTACAACAACATCAACAACAGTTGAATACTGCGATGGCGGCTTTTCAACCACTACCCCAATCTCACCAACAACAGTCACATCAACCACAGACCCTTCAAAATATTTTACCCATTCATAATCAACCAAATGTTACACAATCGACTAATATTACCAGTGGTGGACTAAGTAAGTTCATTTATTATCATATCGAATATGATGAATTATGAATAATTTTATTTATGAAAACGAGTGTTTATGCCTTCAAACTCATTGAAATAAAAGTTAAGTGTTTTTCCTTTAATTTACAATGTTAGTTTTTATAATGAAATAACTATTTCATTATTAGAAATAAACAAGAAAAAGAACGAAAGTATATAAACTAGCAAGTGGACTGAGACATGTTGGTAAGTGTAGACTACCTGGTTGGGATCCGTGATATGATAGCAACCAATGATTAGAGACCTTGAATAATGAAATGGTTGAAAATCGTTTACAATGGCGCAGATGCAGGTCCACACTTTGTGTTCTCCCAAATTCCAATCTTCTGGATTTCTCATGTCCTTTTATTCTCTTTCTAAATTTATTTCACTGGACTACACTCCTTGAATAACATCTTCAAACCGTAGTGTTTCCGATTACTGCTTATAATCTTATTACCTCTACCACTATGGGATTCGAATTGACAACTGCATGTCTGTGCTAATGTGGTATGTCAACTCGAACTGATGTACGTACGTACGAAGTTCTAGGTTGTTAATGACTGACTGACTGAAACTAAGGATGGGCTTTTTTATAATATCTTTATTTATATGAACTGGATCAGTGGATCATTCTCCATTGGTATAAGTGCGCATCCTTAACAAACTCCTACTAGTATACATAGTCAAAAAGTGTTTTATTCATACACATTCACTTATGATTCATTTATGAATTGTGATAATTGAATTAATAGTGTATTTCTGTACATTGACTTTTCTTCTATGATGTTGTTGCTTAAGTTTAAAGAAATTCCATCTGTATCAGTTAGTTCCTTGATTTTCTAAAGCTGTACTATTTTTTTTCTTCACTAAAATTTATTGGTTCTTTTAAAACACTAAACTTTCGTCTACCATCTTCATTCTCATTCATTGAACATTATCAGAAAACTGAAAAATTTCTATCTTTCTTTGTGTTATATGGAGTAATGGCTCAATGGTTAAGACATTCAGCTTTCAGTCATTAAGTCACATGTTTGAAAGCAGCCTCATTTACTTCAGTTTAACCAACTGGATAGTATCACCAGTCCTTCCCACAGAGGTTGTTGTTCAAAAACCAAGCTCATGAATATTTGTACCTGGTAAATGAGTTGAGTGCTAGCAAGATTGTTACCTTCGTGTTTATGATCATTTTGAAAATGTTGAATTGTTTGGTTATTTTTTATTCCACGGAATGTAGATGGAGATTTAACTGGTGGTAATACGTTATTCACTGGACATTTACTACGCTACGAAGATGTGAACATTCGAAGTATTCGTGCTTGTTTAAATCTTGATGAATTATTAACAAATGCCGCTATCAATAGTCGAAATGGTGGTACTAATTCAAATGGAATTACTGCTGCATTTGCTTTACTTCAAGCTAATCCTCGACTACGTGGATTAATTGAACCTGCTGTTCTACGCGCCATCAATGAATTGACCACTCCAGTATTCGAACGTTGTGCACGTATCACAGTTACAACTGTTGTCGCTATCGTCCGCAAAGATTTTGCATTAGATCCAGATCCTTCACGTATGTTGTATGCAGCTTGTCAAATGATTCGACATCTTGCCGCTGGAATGTCATTAATTACTGCAAGAGAAGCTTTAGGCATGTCACTTGTGACAAGTTTAAAAAATATCATTCTTACTGAAGTCCAATCTGCTACCGGGCAGGAAAAAGAAGCTGTACAACAATTGGCTTATCTAGTTGTTGGCAAAAGTATGCATGTTTGTTTAGCGTATATGCAAAAGTCAGTAGCTGAAAAAGCTGTGAAAGATGTCGAGAAAAAATTAGAGGCGGATATAAAACTTCGTACTGAACTTGGTCCTATACGTTTCATGGAACAGGCTGTAAACCAATTAGCATCACAACAATCTAATATGCCTGAATCACTACGCCTTACAGTACGTTGTTGTTGATTATATCACTGCTATTGTATTACATAAGTTTTACTTATTCTATTTCATTTGCAATCAAACTAATTTAATCTATATATTTTCAAATTTTCATTAACCTAATTGTACAACATTGAAATCACTTTTTCTCTAGGCTGGTGGTCCAACTGCCACAGAAATGTCAGTCTATGAAGAATTCGGCCGTGTTATTCCCGGCTTTGCTCCGAGCTCATCTGGAGCCATGGTGAATATGCCTTCATCATCCATTTTACTTCCTGTGTCTTTGAACCCATTAACTGCCGTTCAAAACATTTCTTCATCTACTGTAAATTCTGCAGCATCAATGGCTGCATATCTTCAACTATCTGCATCACAGAAACAACAACTTTCTTCTACTGGTATCATTCAGCGACAGACTACTCCTGCAATATGCACTGCTAGCGGGTCGTTTATGAAACCACAAGGCTATCCAACTGCAGCTAGTCAACCATCAACTAACTTTCAGGTGAGTTTGAAATGTCATGTATTTTTCATCGCATCTGAGTAATATGAGATCATTTGCTCTTTGTATTATGTGGAGAAGATAAGAAATCATTCAAGCGTTTTTGAACAACGTAGAATGTGGCATAAATCTACCTGATTCTTATTTTCTATACGTATTCGGCCTTTAGGAACCGCCTCAATCGGTGGCTTCATTATACTTGATCAATATAATGATACTAGCAGCGTATGTGTATCTGTAGTTTATCTTCACCAGCCTGTTATACATCCATAAGTCAGTACAAAGTAAATTACTACAACTGAGCTTCTTTGAGAGTGAAGATTATTTGTTGGTTCCCACTAAAGTTGTTATTAATTCATGAGGAGATAAAAATCGGTTGGAGGTTAGTGAAACTATTCTTCATTATCCTTTCGCATTATCTCCGTTTACTATAAAAGATCATGTCCAGAAACCACACCAGCTTCATCAACCACATCTTTACGATTACGTAATAGTCTAGCGTGATGTTTTCCATCTCTCGGTTTTATTACTCTACTAGTATCTACTATGATTGCTGAATTTCAGTCAGTCAGTAACTCGGTATAGATTATTGATACACTTCATTACATCCTGACTGAAATTTACGAAGACGACTTAATATACTGCTCTATATTAAGTAAGTAGGGAATGAATTTTCGACTCCATCACTGTGTATCCACTTAACCTTGCGGAACCTATTTATATCCGTGTACACATTTGTTATATAATGAAAATAAATACGTTTTGCTTTCAGACACTTAATAAGTCATCTATCTCAATAGTTATCGTAGGATTGATTATTCTCTTTTCATGTTTGTAATGCTTAAAAGTGCATCCTGCTACTATCTACATTTATTTTCCGCTATTTGTCATTTCATTTTATAAAGGCTCCACTATCTGGTTTGTTTGACAAGATAAGTGGACAGATTGAACGTCATTTAATAGCTATTTCTGGTCGATTACGTCCTGCCAATGATCCAATGTGCCAATCTTTACGTTGTTTAATTGATGCTGTTCACCTAGCTAAAACAAGTCGTGACACAAATGTTGCTAACAATATTATCACAATTATGGTACGTAGTTTCCTGGAGCATTATCGACCTAGTTTTTGGCGTGACCAACCACGTGGTTTAGAAACAATGGAACACTTAAAAGAGGCTCACATGCTTACTCTTCGACATATGCTATCTTTAGAACAAACTCCGTTTGGATATGCATGGGTTACTCGACAGGTATGTCTTCAACAAACTAACTACTCTGTGATCGAATTGTTTTATGTTATATTAGTCCTTACTTTCATCTTTATTTCATCAATCTTTATCACTTTTATGTATGTGGTTCTCTCACAGGTCACACACACATGGATTCATTTAGACGGAGGAAATGTTTCCGGTTCTGGTGGTGTCAACCAAGGTGTCACGTCATTATCAAACACTAGCGGGAATACAGCTGATGATTTGCAAAATCAAGAATTAGACTTGAATATCGCTCCTACTGAAAATAAGACTTCATCACTGGATGACATGGTGGACACCACTGCCACTAATAATTGGACAGTGGGAGGAGGTAGTTGGAAACAAGTATGTTAAATTTTTTTATTCAAATTTCGAGTTCGAGAGCATATTCACACAATACTTCTGGCTGTAAATTATTCTCAGACTAATCTATAATTCTATTCCCTTCACAGTTAAAAAAATCTATTAAAAATAAATATTCAACTGATTAAGTGTCAATTAATGTATCGTTCCGAAATGTCCGAACTCTCAAACACGTGCTCACAGGTTAAATCTTGTCAATGAATGCTTCTGAACAACCTACAATCAGATCTTTGATAAACTTTATAAGAGTTATCTCTTCACAGTCAGTCTGCCAAATACAATGTAGAACCTGGTATATATGTAAACTCGGCTAATGAGTACTAACATGGTAGAACAATTTTTAATATTCCAGACATTATTGAAATAGACAGTCATAATCAACTGAGGGCTTGATACAGATGTACATCAGTCCAAAGTTTTATACCGCATTAGCACGATGAAATGAAATTAACAGTATGTATAGAAAAAGAGTTCGGAATAATGCAGTAGCAATAATAATAATATGACTAAACATTGGGAATGTGGCTTGAACATAATGGAATAGCATGTTTGACGGAATGCTGGAATTGAAGGTCTGCAGAGAGTTGAGAAATGCATCCATCCGCACCGTTTTGTGCGATTCTGAATCATGTCGCCCGAAATCTCCAACCACTGATCGCGTTTATCCTGCTGACCTCAGCCTCCGATAGTTCTCATCTAATAACATACCTCGCACCAATACTCAATAGCTTCATAGACTGACGCCAGGTCTTAGTCTTACCATTTGTAACCTTACAACCTACTCCTGTATCAGTAAACATCGCCTGTCAAGGTTTGCAGTTGTTAGGCATCCGTAACAGTCGTTCCAACCCCATCGATCAGTGAAGATTCACAACCTTATAAACCTATTTGCTACCTATACCTAATGCCCTTTGCCTAACCCTTCAACATTCTTCAGGCGGTCGTTTCTCAGAATACAAGCAATGTTTCGGAGACACCCAAAACGGAGTAATGCAGTGTTGGTGTACAGTGTACACACCTTTAATTTACAGATTGACATCTCTTCTACGCTGTGGATGACGCAAATTGACAACGTCATACGAGATTTCTTCGTAAATTGACCCATCAGAGTTAATGGGACTTCCACGACATGTGAAAAATTATCACCTCAATCAATTTCTTCATTACCTAACATTAATTTAGAAGTTGACGTAGAGCAGAGAAATGCATTACAAATATCTTAGCATTATTGCTCAACTAGATCAAAAGACTGCATGTCAGTTACTACACCAAACAGAACTATATCTTCTGTTTATTGTTAATCGGTAAGGATACTTCCTGGTAGGAGATCAAACTCCGAAAAATTAAGTGAAGTTAATATTTCGCGGAGGACATTTATAACGGAACTAACGAAAGAGGGATAGTGGGGAACCCTGACGATTACCGGTTGATGTTAACAATTCTGATGGCAGTTTGTCATAAACTATAAGCCGACCAATAATAACTGAAATAGCAATGCAATCATACCCATTATTCATCCCTACAGACTTTAGCTTATTAAATTTCTATACTTCAACCATGTGAGTCGATTTCTTATCAAATTAAAAAAGAATTCTATGATATTAGTTTATGTACTGTCGTTACTTTTAGTATAATCTCTCTTTTTTTAAAAAAAAATTTTCTAGCTTACTGAAAATAATAACAGTCAAATCGCTGCTGCTCATGATAATCGTCTTGTTTCAGTCAAATGGAATTGGGAAGCATTCGCTGAATTTCTACGAGTTCATGTTATTTATTTCTCCCAAGTAATTTTTTTCTCTTTTGTTCGTTTAATTTTGATTTATTTATTTGTTATTAATTGATTGTTTTACGTATTGTTTGTTGAGACCCCTATACTTACATGTATCGTATACTCACTAGTAACTAGTTTCAAGAAGAGATTCCTGGAGTTTTAATGATAGGTTGTGACCAACAGAGCTAATCTGTGTCAGGTATGAAGGATGATTGCACAATATCGTGGATTGAATGAAATTAGACATTAACTTTATTGGCTCGTTGTTTTCAAAGTTAAGCGTTCGCGCGCGAGACTAAATGTTTTGACTTCGGGATCATGGATGTCCGTTTTTGAGAGTCCCATACTAGGGCGGAACGACCCCCCAATGCTTTCGGTTTTTCAATGATCTTGTTGACTGTATTAATAAAGCAATCACTATTGTGTTTTTTTTAAAGCTCCATTTTTCTTGTTTTTTTTCTTTTCTGAAAGATCGATACATATTTAGCTCAAGAAGTTGCCAAAGGTCATCCAGGCGCAATTACTTTTGTCATTGATTTATTAGATCATTTTGTACTACCTTGCCCTAATGGCACGTCATTAGGAGCAGCAGCAGCTGCTGCTGCTAGTTATGCTCGTGCCAATTCATCATCGACTATTCCTTGCACTGCCGTGGGTTCGAGTGTTAGTGGTGCTAATTCTGGCTCCGCATCTGTCAATGTTAGTGTTTCTGGAGTTAATGCAAACTATCCAATTGGTGGTGTTGGCGGTCCTACTTCAGTATCATTTTCAACAAAACGCGAATTTACTGTATTGAATGAATATGATTTATGGTCTACTTTAGAAGCTTTAAGAAATCGTGTAACGTTTCTTAATAACACTAACCTATCAACATCATCATTAACCGATCCATTGGGTTTACGGTTACGTTTGGCTTGTGCACGTGTCCGAGGTTTATTGGATTTGGGACTTATGGAACAATCCCCATTGTTCAACAATCCATCTTGTACTATTGGAGCATTGTATGCTGGATGTAGTCAAGCTCATGAATTTGACGATCCGCCTAATCTACAGGTGAGTATTTGTGTAGAAATGAGATTCTATTTTTTTCATATGATAAAATAATGTAACTTGTGGTTTCATTTTTACCTTTAATGAATGTGACGTAGGATGAGTTCTATCTATATCTTTGTGGTATACTTCTCCTAATCTTGGAAGTGAGAAATCGCCAATCCTAATTTTTGTTGTAATTTTAACGAATAAATTATTTATTTCTATGATCTTTGCAGGAAAAAGTTGAATTGATTATGCGTAATTGGGTTGAAATCTATCAAAGTCCTAAACAACGTGATCCTGCTACAATAGATGCACTTCTTAGTCAACTGACACAAATCGGTGTCTTGCCAAATATTAATAATTCAACTCGTTTCTTACGCTTAGCCACAATTTTCGTGATTGAACGAGCTTTGAAACAATTGAAGTTGGAAGAACAACAACAACAACAACCTCAAGTTCCTAATGGAGGAGGAGGGGGATCAAATTTTAGTTCGAATCCGGCGATTAATCGTGTTGCAGCTTACGTTGAACTAGATGCTTATGCTCGTCTAGTTAGTATATTAATTAATCAATTAGGTGAAACACCTCAAAGTGAATACCCTAATGCTAAGGTAAGCTCTCATAACTTCAGTTATCTATATTTTATGCTAGTAATTCTTCCTGTCAAACTAGCTAGTTTACGTTATATCTGTAGTAACCACAATCAAGTCAACAATATTTTTCGTGCATTGGACAAGTCATCCTGTTGATCTAACACTAATATATCTGTTAGATTAAGGCAATACTTATTGAAGATGTTGGACTTAATTCAAAAGTAGTGTCAGTAGTATTACGGTTTCATCATTAGTAAATAATACTTTTCAATTGTATCCCAACACACACGCACATGAAGAGAGAGAGAGAGAGGGAGTGAGAAAAGCTGTGCATAGTTCTTTGTACATTCGAAGAAAGTATAGTATTATTTATGTATATGAAGTAGGAGTTTAGTGATATGATGAATGAATTTTAGGTTGATAAAACGGAAAGAATACTGATTGATGCGATATACAATGATACTAATCGTGATTGAATAATAGTACCTGCTCACAAGATCGAATTATTGACTTTTGCTTTTGAATGTGCAAAAGAGACAAGACCATTCAGTCAGCTACAACGTAGGATCAGGCACATATATATGCATAAGTCCAAGTTGCCATACCTCATTAGCTAGCACATCAAGATGAACACCAAATTCATAGAAGTAATTACTTCAATGGTAGTACTATAAAAATGAAAGATTGTGTATAAGGATATATTACAGGAAGAAAGAATTAGCTCGTAAAAAGAAAAATCACTAGTCCAGAAGAAGTAGGTTTTCCATCCCATGTAGTACCATAATGTTCATCTATCCGTCTATCAGAAACGTTAATATTACTGTAATTACTATCTTAACTGTTAACTTTCTGTATTTTTATCACTAAAGAGTTTTTGTCCATTTTGTTGGTGCAGGTCGCATTATTAAACAAGGTCCTCGGACTTATCGCTGGTACACTACTTCAAGAGCATGAAGTACGACGTGATTTATTCCATCCTATGCCTTTTGAACGTCTCCTAGTTATCCTATTTGTCGAATTGCAGTCTTCATTATCACTACCTACAGCAACACAGTTTACTGTAGGTGCATCTCCAAGATCAGATGGCAATGTGGATGAAGGATGTGTTGAGAATGTGAATTCAGATGTTCATCAGAATACTGACACGGATAAAGCTTGTGCAGGTAAACATGCCGACAGTGTTGGTGGTGGTGAGCCTCGAATACCCATCGCATCAATAAAATCATTGGGTCCACTGACTTTTCAACAACAACTTCCTCTTATCTTTTGTCATCTATTACATTGTTTAAGACCGGAAAAAGCTACTGCATTTGTATTTTCTTGGCTGGAAATGTTAACTCATCGTTGGTTTGTTGGATGCATCCTATCAGCTCCTGGTCCTCCAAAACTTCGAGCGGCATATCAAGCAATGTATGCACAATTGTTGGCAGATTTATTGAAATTTCTAGGCTATTTCCTTCAAAATGCTCTTATGCCAAAACCAATCCAGTGTTTATACAAAGCTACATTACGGCTGTTGTTGGTGTTAATTCATGATTTCCCTGAATTTGTTTCTGATTACTATGCATTGTTTTGTGATGTTGTCCCATCTAATTCTATTCAAATGCGTAACATAATTCTATCTGCACTACCCAAACGAGGCATACCTTCGGCGGACCCATTACAAGTAAGAAAAAATTCAGTTATACAAACCTGTATAATTCTTTTTCTGGTTTTAGTGTTTTGGTAATTCAATCTCCATGTATATACCATATGTAATTTTCTGTCCGTTATTTCATGTTTAATAGGCTCCTCCAGTTGACCAATTAGCTTCTCTTGAAGATCCTACTGGTTATTGTATGGAAGCTGGTTCACGACTCCCAGAGCCGATGAGATGTGAGCTCGATGCATATCTAACCACTCGAGCACCTGTTAAACTACTCAGTGAATTAGTTACAATGTTAAGACGTGCTGATGATATCATCCCGCCTATACCACCACTTCAGTTTGCCTATCATCCTCAACAACAGGCTAGACATCAACAAGCCCTGGCAGCATACGCAGTTGCTTTAGCTGCTAATGATGTTGGTCCAGGTTCTTCAGTAAAGAATGAAGACAAGCCTACTGACGATCATTTTACACCTAGTTCCACTTCCACACAGGCTGTAAACAAAATATCTGGGAAAACTGGGACAACAGAATCTTGGGAGAGTAGTGGCATCATATCGTCGTCCTCGGCAGCAGTTTCTGACAGTAACAACGAGACATCTTCATCGTCTGCAAGCAATACTACTACTTCACGAACAACACTGACTGTACCCAACTCTGTCGTCAGTGGCGGTTCTGGTGCTGCATTGGCTGCTTTATTATGGGGTGTACGCGCTACTCAACAATTAGCTACATTTGGTCTAGCCGATAGTATGCATTACAATATTGAATTAATGACAAATTTAACATTATACGTTTGTATTACTGCTATTCGTAATTTACGCGAAAAAGGTATGCCATTGAATATGAGCACTATTGCTCATACTCCACAAATGGATATTATACAAAGTCTAGTTTTAAATCTTGACAATGAAGGTATGTGGGTTATTATGTATTGAGGTTTATAATTAATTACTTGATTAATCTCTGTTGTTTTTATTGTTATTGAATGTTTGTTTTCAAATGGTTTATTCAGTTTAAAGTCAGTTATAGTTGTGTATAATCATAGAAGTTATATTGTTTTTCCATTCATTGGTTTTGAGTCATAGACACATCATGAATTTCCAGAACCTTAATATCTCATATATATTTGAACTATATCAATGGGTTCTTTACTGATTGAAATGATTTAGTGACATGTATTATATTATGCCCAACTACCACTTACGTCAATATACATTGCCAGCTGTAGTAAGAATAAGTCGAAAGAAACTAAACCAAAAAAGAAACATGGCATCGGTTCGTGTACTTAATAACTATTAGTTTAAGATATATTGATACGTATAGACCATCTGATCGAGATATCTGCATGTTAACTACGATCAGTCGTTGAAGAAACGTTTCGTAATATCAGTCAGTCAGTCAGTAACAACGTAGAACTTCGTACTTACGTACATCAGTTCGAGTTGCCACACCATATTAGCACAGAGATGCAGTTGTCGATTCAAATCCCATAGTGGTAGAGGTAATAAGAGTATAAGCAGTAATCGGGAAGATTAGGGTTTGGAGATGTTATTTAAAGAGTATAATCCAGTGAAATAAATTTGGAAAGAGGAAAAAAGGGACATGAAGAATTCAGAAGATTGGAATTCGGGAGAACACAGAGAGTGGATGCACCTGCGCCATTGCAAACGATTTTGAGCCATGTCATTCATGGTCTCTAACCATCAGTTGCTATCATCTCGTGGTCCCCAACCAGATAGTCTACAGCTACCAACATGACTCAGTCCACTTGTCAGTGACTTCGTGGACTTGTGCCATGTTTTGGTTTGGCCGCCCCTAGCTTTCTTCCAACCTACTCCTATATCACTGAACATAGCACGTCGAGGTAGTCGGTCGTTGGGCATACGTAATATAGCTTAAAACTGGTCACAAGTGTAGAGATGCATTCACTCCTTGATTTTTTTATTGTTCCTTCATACTCTCTTTTCATTTTTTTCTTCTAAGAAAAAAAATCCTTAGTAAATAAAAATAATAAATTTGTGGATAACCGAATCAGTTGAAAAATGTGATATTCTGACGTTTCATGATTCTCAGTATAAGTCACTTCTTCGAATCCCGCAGGGAGCGGGTTCGTGGATGCGCACTGTTGAGGAGTCCCATACTAGGACGAAACGGCCGCCCAGTGCTTCCAGGTTTTCAATGGTGGTCTAGCTTCAACTGACTCATGATTTCAACCTGTGAAATTTACTAAAATCTCCACAAAACTCATTCTGATAATAAATGAATAAGCAAATCAAAATGTATCCAATGTTAAATAGTACAAAGGAACAAAGCAAGAATATGAAGTGCGATCAATTAATAAAATAAACAAAAACAAACAGGTCTGAACAAATCAATGTCATGTCATTTCGGTCAAGGTGATTCATAAGAGACATGTATGTAAAGTTGTGTGTGTGTGTGTGTGTGCGGGGTCAGGAATGAAAATATATAACATTTATGATGAAAAAGGATAGAAAATCTAATTTTTCTGCTTATTGGGATATTGACTCATGATCTCAATTATCCACAAAATCCATCTGATATTAATCAATATATGCTCACTAGTGACTGGCTTCAACAGGTGTTTCCTGGAGTTCAAGTGAGAAGCGATGATCAGTGGAGTTCAGTCAGGTCTGTCATGACATAGTAACTGACTGAAGACAATGGTGGATGTGTCGCTCAATTTCATGGATTAGTTTGAGTTAGACATTAAAACCACTGGATGCCAGTTCAGTGGTGTAAAGATTAAGTGTTCGCACACGATACCGATAGGTGCTTGATTCGAATCTCGCGAGTCTGTATCATGGATGCGCACTACTGAGGAGTCCTACAATAGGACGAGTTGGTCATCAAGTACTTCGAGGTTTTCCATGATGGTCTAGCTTCAATTGACTCATGATCCCAACCATCACTACTACTACTACTTGGTTTCGAACTCTTACCATTCATTTTATTGATTTCAACTTTTGCCAGGAATTGTACCATAAATATGGTTGATTGATTAACTGAAATATTAAATGAAAATGCTCTATTCTCTGAGTTTCATGGTTTAAATATCAAATTGTTTATTTGCTTTTTACTTTAAACACGACAGTGAGCATCAACCTTATCAAATAGAAGTCTGTTTTTGAATTAGTCCATTTTTATAATCTCTCTCTCGTTTGATTTGATTATCTTCAGTATCTAGTCGATCAAATTAAACACTGATACTGTTCGAAATATGAAATGAATATTTCATTTATCTTGAAAGAGCATTTCTTTCATTATGAAAAAAAAACTCTTGATAGACTTGGAATTCAACTACATGTTTCCGATTAGTGCTTGTACTTTTACTACCTCTACTACTACGGAATTTGAGTCGACAACTGGATCTCTATGCTAATGTGGTATGACAACTCGAACTGATGTACGTACGTACGTACGAAGTTCTACGTTGTTACTGACTGACTGACTGACTGACTATCATAGATTATTCTACTCAATCAAATTCTCTTCCAAATCTGTTTTACTTAAGTATTAAATAAAAAATTAGATTTATATTATCATAAGTTAATTTGATACCTAAAATTACATGGAATTGATTTTCCTTCTTTTCCTTTCATTGTTAGGTCGTTATCTTTTGCTTAACTGTATGGCAAATCAACTACGTTATCCTAATTCGCATACATACTATTTCAGTTATACAATATTATATTTATTCTCTGAACAATCTAAAGAACAAGTTAAAGAGCAAATTAGTCGTGTTCTTATGGAAAGATTAATTGTAAATCGTCCACATCCATGGGGTTTATTAATGACTAGTGCAGAACTATTACGTAACCCAGCATATCGATTTTGGGAACATGAATTTGCTCGATGTAATCCAGAAATTGAAGCGTAAGTTTTCAAAAGTCATGGAATTTTCTGTGTTTTTTTTTCTTTCTTGTTAAAGTTCGGTAAAATAATAGAATAAAATATCTAGGTCATCTATCGTACCATGTCAAGTCACCAAATGAAACTATTATTTTTTTTTTGCTATCTGACATAAAATGTTATTAGAAACCAGCTAAGAATATGTAAATGAAAGGATCAGACTAGTCTATAAAGTCAGATTGGATATTTTAGTCATTCAAAAAGAGATGAGTTGATGTTCTGATGAAAAGTTCACAAGATAACTGGGGGGGGGGGAATCAATTTGATTGCTCCAAGGATAGTCTGTCTGGTAAACAGTTCTCGATAACATTTCATACAAATAGAAAATTGAATATTTATGATCATTCGTTGAAATTGAGACGGTTATTAAACGTCTTATATTACGTCTAACAACTTTTAATGATTTCAATGTTTCTCTCAACTATCTGATACAACCTTTCTAGTTAAATATTCAAACCGAAGAGAAACAAAATGAAGTTTTATGACAAAATCATATTATGCATCTGTCTTTAAGCAGAATCATTTTGTGTATAATAAGGTCATGAAACAATTGAAACTTGAATCTCTTGGAAATATGTAGATTTTCATTTGTTGTTGTTGTTGTTGTTGTTTTGTATTCTGGAACGTTCTTACCACAGGTTCGTTAACTACCTCATTATATATAGATGGAATTCGCTATAATAGTAGTCAGTAGTCCTATAATCCGGTGTAGTTCTAAGACCTAAAAACGTTTCAACCATCAAGTATTTCATAATACTTTACTGAAGAAAGTAATCAAACATGTATAAGAGCTTGATGACTTCCTTATTGATGATTCATCGTTGATTACTGAATCACACTCATCGAAAAATATAAATTAAGTTTCTTTTCAGATTTATAATTAATTTGATAAAAATAAAAGTTTTTTAAAAATCCCTTTCAAAGTCCTCATTCAGAAAGTCTTCTAATAGTTAGAAAGATGGAGACTCGTATATAAGAATCACGTTGTATCATAGATCCGTACGCCGCTACAACCACTGTTTATTTTTATTACCCAATAAGCTACTGATAAAGAGGTGTACTTTGAGAGTTGATATTGTGTATTCGATAATTAATTCAACGATAATGATCTAACATTGATCGATTCATGATCTAAATTATAGCATTGAACTTCATTGATATACACATATGTACATAGCTAAGAATACTATACTATACTATACTATACTATACTATACTATACTATACTATACTATACTATACTATACTATACTATACTATACTATACTATACTATACTATACTATACTATACTATACTATACTATACTATACTATACTATACTATACTATACTATACTATACTATACTATACTATACTATACTATACTATACTATACTATACTATATCGTTTCCTTTCACATTGTTATTCTCTCATTGCACGATAAATATATTTTTATATGATGTATCATGAATGTTTAAATGGTGATTATAGCAACACAATAAATGAGTAGCATCCAAGAGAATGCTACCTGTTTGTTTTTAATCAATTTACATGAATTAAATAGATTACAATTCATCAGTGAAATATCTTTCTGTCATTTGTCTCTTTTCTCTCTTCTCTCTATTCCGAACAGAATTGTAACTATTGTCGCTCGTAGTTGTATACCAAATTTTCAAATTCCCAATGTAAATTCTTCTGATACTTGTACAACTTCTAGTGTTGTTTCATCGAGTCTACGTTATGCTTTATTATCGTCTGGTACCGCTCAAGGTTCAGTGTAATCAATTAGGATGACAACACTATGTATGTGTATTTGTGTGAATAAATTATTATCTTATCTGTATTCTTTTTCTTTGCACACCCCCCTCATCCTATTATTCTATATTCACAATTGTAATTGTTTGTCCAAAAGAAAAGTATGTTCAAATCAATAACATGTGTATCTAATCAGTCAATTATCATTGTTGAAATTACTCTTCAATCTTATCATTTCACATTCATATCATTGACCGAATTCCATTACTATTATAACAAACGTTTGCCTTCTGTTTTTTTTGTTTTTGTACTTTTTCTTTGGTTCGTGTGTGTGTGTATGTGTGTGTGTGTGTGTGTTTATGTTTGTGATAGAGATGATAACATTGTGTTTATATTGTTTTCTTTCTATTTCGGATTAAAGTAAAGTACCCCCACAATGAACCTACTTGGTTCCTTTATCCTCTTTGTAAAATTTCATTATTGACCTCATATACATAAATATATATAATCTTTTTTTTCTAGAAAAAGTGACAGTTGTTATTTGGTTTACAACAAACAATTGGATGGGGTCTTGTTGTGTTTTATATCTGTAAGACCAGCGATATTGTCATTTTAGAAACTTACTTACGCTTGTTACTCCCAGTGGAGCATAGATCACCGATCAGCATTCTCCAATCCCACTCTGTCATGAGCCTTCTTTTCTAGGTTTGTCTAATTATTGTTCATTCTTCTCATATCTGTGTCTATTTCTTACTGTAATATGTTCTTTGGTCTTCCTCTTCTCTCTTGAGCTTGAAGATTCCAAGTGAGATTTACCGTTTGTTAGAGAAAGAGTTGGGTGCTAGCGATAACACATGAACTGAAATCGATAAAGTGAGTAATTGTGTAAAGTGGACTGTTTTGTAACGACTCATTCACTACTCCCCCCCTTTATCATATCTTTTTCTTCATCTTTGTATTTTTGTCGACAATAAGTTTTTGTATATATTTTTCTAATTAAATGGCGTTTATCCTCACTATCTAGTCAATTTTACTGGATTCCCCGTTCAATATATTTTAAATACAGTCAAATTAATTATAATTTGGGTATATGAGGGCCCAACATTATTTCGCGGGGAAGGATATCAGCTCCGGATTTTCAAAAAAAGGGAGGTGCTGGGATATTTAGAAAAATACTCCCAAAATTATCCTGTTACGTTTAATGCTAATTCATTGGGGTTTCCCTGCGTGGGTTCGAATCCCATTGCCGTCGCCAATTGTTATAGAGCAGTGACTTATAAATCGGATCAAAGACACGTAAACACGTGCGAGCAGCCTAAAGTTCTGATTGTCCCTGCCTTCCTCCTAGCCCAGCCATATAAGTCCAGAACACAAGTCTCAGCCTCTGCGATATGAATCATTTATTTCAAACACACTCGGTTTATGTATTAACCAGACAGACCACAACGTACCAATAAAATATGAAACAACATTTGTACAAGAATTAGCCAGATGCGGCTGTGAATGTGGGAGATAGTAATTGATAGACTGAGCATAACTCAAGAATGGTAAATCGTATAGTAATAGTCTATGGGTCAAATTAAAGCTTATAATAAGAGCAATATGAATATGCATAGTTTAGTTACATAACAATTATACGATAAAAATATACTCACAGTATTGGTCCATAAATGGATCCCAAAAGATTACCATTCATTATTCTTATCGGGATATAACTGTGATCATATTCATACAGGGATTACTTCACCAAGTTGGTTATAGACTTATGAGAAAACTTCACAATTTCAATTCTTATACATCTAATAGTCGGTACACATGAAAAACAGACAAGTTGAAAATAGCTTTGTGTTTTCAAGATTGTTCATATTAACCCCTTTTTCTTGTTGACCTATCTATACAAATAAATATGATTGAATGATTAACCTTTCTTTGTTCTCATAATAATAAATATCTTCATCCCTGATTGCATAATCTGTCCAACTTGAATTTATTGATTATCAACTTATTAATTGCGTAATCAGCTCTCATTATGATTATTTGTAACTTATTCCATTACTAAATGTAAAATTTTACTTCAGGATTGGCTGACATCAATACATGAATTAATGATAAGGGGTGAAGTAGATGAATATATCAATTACTTCATCTATACTAGGAGTCTCATCATCCCTGATGATCTGATGTTTGACAAAATCTCAGCATGGATTCAGAATGCTCGATTGACTTTTGTCTACTTGTGGTGTAGGCAAGATACCGTCTTCCAACTAAAAGACGAGTTTACAACGTAGAAGTTCGCTCCGTTCTACTTTATGGATATGTGACATGGCCATTAAGAGTAGAGGAAATTCGTAGATTACTAGTATTCGATCATAAAGATTTTCGAAGCATTGCTCGTGTATTTTGGGACCACGGAGTAACCAATGCCTAGGTTAGGAAACGGGTGCTAGGTGAGGATGGCAAATCGAATGATGGGGTAATAAATCTTCATCAACTGAGGGGGTTGAGATAATATGTTATGTATGTCCAACCACCGCTCACCTCACCGGATAATATTGTTTGGTGTAGGAGTAGGCTGAAAGGAAGATAGGGGCGGCCAAACGAAGACATGGTATAAGTCCATGATGACACTAACTTCCAAGCTGAGCCATCTAGGTAGGTGCGGAGTACTTGGTTGGAGTCTGCGTGATTATCCTAATCAATGATTAGAGACTTTGAATTTCATGGTACAGGTGCATCTGTTTTTTATCTTCCCCCCAAATCCTGAGATTTTACATTCCCCGTAATTTGATTCACTAACTTATGTTTTGTTCTCGAGTCGTATATTCGATACCTACTCTTTCTTATTATCACTGATGCTTTTGCTACTTGTACTAATCTACTCATAAGGTATGGCAACTTGAACCGATATACATACATACAAGGTTCTATCTTGTGACTGAATGACTGATCTGTGATAAAAACATAATCTTAAGTCTTAACAGTAGTTTCTAACCCCATTTTAACAAATGCAACCTGATCTTATGCCAGTTTACATATTCATAATTGTCTATCGATTATACTACAACTTTACTGAGTAATTTCATCCTTTTCAAAAAGAAAATTCTTTCTTAAAAATCTTGATTTTATTTCACTGAAGTGAAGGGTTCAACATAATCGGAGTTCTTTATTCACTTAAATTTTGTGTTGTAACTCACATACCCCCCCTCCATATATTCTAATTAGCTTTTTATACCCACCTTTTTTTATACTTTCAATCAATATATATTTCTCCATCTATATGAGATTTTAACTTTGAAGAGCTCGAACAAAGAATGGAACAGAACAAACAGTTTTATCAGTTTTATTAAGTTCTTATTAGTTGCTAACATCCTATAAGAATTTTAAAGTGAAATTATCATTAAGCAAAATTTGTTGAATTTATTAGTCGACTGAAACTAGATCACTATGGATTATCTGGAACAACTGGACGACCGTTTATTTCTAGTATGGGACTTCAAGAGGTGTTTTCTAGAGTTCTAGTGAGAAACAGTGACCAGTGGAGTTGTGAGATCGAATCTGTTGTGAGATAGTAACTCATTGATGACAATCGTGGACGGTGGCTCAATCTCATGGATTAGTTGAAGTTAGACATTAACACCATTGGATGCCGGCCAGCTCAGTGGTTTAGATGTTAAGCGTTCACGCGTGAGATTGATAGATCCTGGGTTTGAATCTCACAGGGGGCGGGACCGTGGATGCGCATTGTTGAGGGGTCTTATACTAGTACGAAACAGCTTCTAGGCTTTCCGTGGTGGTCTATTATAACATAATGTTCACAAAAATCCCTGTCTGATGATAACAATATGTATTATCATAGTGGAGTAATGATATTGAAGGATGTTGTAAATTAATACAATATATGAAAGTAGATACTGGATTATCAAATCATTGAGCTAAAATAATCAATTGATTATGTAATAAAATAGTTGAATACAAATTAATAACAATTCAGAATGATCAGAATTGAGATCAATCCGTTACAACACAATGGACTCATTTTATTTCATGTCAGTAGGTGTAGACTACCTGGTTGGGATCGGCGAGATGATAAAAACCGATGGTTAGAGACCCTGAATGACATGGCTCAAAATCGTTTGCAATAACGCAAGTGCATCCACTCTTTGTGTTCTCCCAAATTTTGGTCTCCTTATTCCTCCTTGTCCCTTTTTTTCTCCTCTCAAATTTATTTCACAGCATTACACTCTTTAAGTAACATCTCTAAACACTAATCTTCCCGATTACTGCTTATACTCTTATTACCTCTACTACTACGGGATTTGAATCGACCACTGTATCTCTATGCTAATGTGGTGTGGCAAATCGAACTGATGTACGTACGTACGAAGTTCTACGTTGTTACTGACTGACTGACTTATTTTATTGTTCGTGATATTTCATTAGCATGAAACCATTTAATAATCATGTTATATGTAGTTTTATAAAGATCTACATATATTAGTCAATGAAAAATCTATTTGGAAACGAAATAGAGGTCAGTAGGAAGAAGATTGGATTGGAGAATGCTGGTCAGCGGCCTATGCTCCATTGGGAGTAACAGGCGGAAGTAAGTAAGTAAGGAAGAAGAGATAAACTAGTTGATATTGTAGTTCACATTCATGTTATCAAATGAGACCATATAATGAAGTAATTCATGTTATAATAATTAAATAATAGATCAGAATGAAAAACCAATTTCACAATTGAGTAATCATATAATGACACGAAATATAATGAAATACAATTGATTGTTAACGTCATAATTGAATGTGATTGGAAATGTTTATCATACAAAATAGAATAAACGAATGAACATCAAACCACTAGAATTATTTGATCATGTCAATATGAGATTTAACATATTTATGTATACCGATTCCAAGTTGTAAACTTTCCAAATCATATTTGTACTGATGTATCTATTTAAACACATGAACATTGGTACAAGGAGGCACTAAATAGATGTGTGCCACACAAATCTCACTTGATTTGCATGAGGGATAGAATACTGCCCAAATGCCCAGATCGAAACAGGTGGTTTTATCAGGGAGCCACACTCGGAGCATTTAACCTAAAGGTCTAATCGACAAGGCAGTGGAGCAACATCAAGAGATGCAGTCCCATGGTTGCTGGTGACCAACACTTAGTTCGTACGTCATTGGTTTCATTCAGGATACTGGAGCATATGTGCATCATTGGTTTGTAATCAAGGTTTCGCAACTCCCCAAATGCCCTGGTACGGCCGAGAGTGGGGAGAGTCAGCTCTCCCTTTCAAAATGCTCTCACATGGCCACGCGTATACAGCCTCTGCCAGGGAAGTCCTACTCATTGCCCTCTCGTGGCGGGGGTGTTGTTTACGAAAATGAGAGGACGAAAAGCGAATGTCCGGCACATTATCCGGATCCCAAACCAATGGTGCACATCGGCCCCAGTATCCTGCGGGAACAAATGGCGTATGAACCAATCGTTGGTCACCGGCTACCATGAGATT